CATTGTGGGTAGATAAATATTAAACAGGGTAGGAACCAACATACAGCATCGCTTCACACCAGTGACTACTGCAATGTCACCCGAGGTCTCTCCACTCAGCTGCACCCTCGCCCACATACCACTGTGCAAAAATTCAATTAAACTTACAAACACGCGGGCAACCAGACATACCCAACACTAGCCAAAATGTTTCGTCTTTCACGGTATCAAATGCCTTAGTGAAATCAACAAAATGTGAGTACAACGGCTGGTGTCATTCTCTGCACTTCTGCAACTGATGAGCCGCAAACACCATACCTATAATGCTGCGACCCGAAAGGAATCCACACTGCACTTCCGACACGTTAGGTTCCACAACCTGACTGAGGAGACGGTTGATCAGGATTCGGGCAATCACCTTACCCACACAACGCAGCAAGTTGATGCCACGATAATTCGTGCAACATTGCTTGCTCTCTTTGCCCTTGTACAGTGGTAGCACAAGGGCATCCTTCAGCTCAGGAGGCACCTGCTGCTTAATCCACACGCGGCGCACCAAGTGATGCAACCAATCACCAAAACGAGCCCGCTGTTTCTATACTTCAGGCGGGATCCCTTCGGCATCGACACATTTGCCGTTTCGCTGCTGAATAACTGCTCTCTGCGTCTCACCCAGTGTCGGCGTGTCTGCCAGAATCGCCTTCATATCGTTCCGGTTCAGGCTGTTCAAATTAGGCCGGTCGATCTCTGAAAGGTTGTTCAAGAGACAGTCAACGTGTTGTTGCCAGATCTGCATTATGTCTGCAGTCTGTGAACTGCCATCGATCAGTGTCTTTAGCGGCTCCAAGCTCGGTCCATACACCGCCTTCAAGTAGTCAAAGATTTTCTTGTGTGGTCAGAGTTCGGCGTAGCATAACATTTGATTCCTCTCCTTCCAACATGCAATTTAATGCGATGAAGCTCTCGGGGCAGTCGCCGTCGATGTTTGCGAAACGGACTATTCTTCCCCAAGTCACTGGGACTGCGACATGTGCAGCAGATGCTGCATTCTTCACACATACCAAGACGCCAACCGTCGCATTGTCCTCATCAAACCAATCATGTAGGTTACAGTTTGCGCACCCGATCGTCTCCTCGGCAGCAGCTGTCACCTGGTCACGAATGTGGTACCACAGGTCGCCCACTGTGTCTATGCAGTCCACACCACACAGTCTTGCAGCCTTCTCCAGCTCAATACGTTTTGCCACAGGACCGAGTGAGAGGGTGTCAAACCTATTCCGATTCATGACGGCAGTGCAACACATAGATTTACGAACTATATGTACAGTTTGGTCCGCACCAACTAGTGATCAGTGCCACACTCATCTTCACGCAATACACGTGTCATGCGCACTTCACGCATATCACGCTGACGTACGATGACATAGTCGAGCAGGTGAGTGTGACCATGCAGTGTATGCATCCAATCGGCTCTATCACTCACACTCAGTGCAAACCGAGTGTTCGTGATCGTCAGGCCGTGATTGGCACACAGTGAGAGCAGCCTGTCACCGTTTGCATTCGCTGAGCCAATGCCATGCGAACCGATAACATCTGTCCACACCGCTGCATCACGCCCAACGCGCGCGTTGAAATCACCCAGTAGGAATAGGCGGTCGCTCCTCGGTACAGACCGTATCACGGAGGATAGCTGCGTGTAGAATGGATCACGCATGTCATCAGGATAACATATGGCCGGACCGTAGGTGCTTATAAAAGTGGCAAATTTACCGCTTCCGATTCGTAGGCGAACAGTCGTCAGTCGCGCGCTGATGTCTGTTGGTTCACCCACGAGTTGGCCATGGAGGCGATCGGGTATTGCAAATCCTACCCCATGTTCACCTGGTACTGAGGCGGCGTTGCCCACCCACCCCCCAGTAGAACGTGTAGCCAGCACCTGCTTCATGCAACTTACCTTGCTCAGCGAGCCGAGTCTCACTGAGCGCCGCGATATCGAGGTGGTAGCGCGGCAGTTGCATTGCGACCAGGGCAGTGTGTCGCTCGGGGCACTCACTCGTTCCGGTCCGCACGCTCAAGTACCCGATGCTGAGTGCTTTGCGCGCAGGCATACGATTGCATTGGTTGGTCATCGCACGCGAGGTGGTGGATGTGCTTCAGAGGTTTGCTTGAGGGATACCACCAGGAGCCTTTGGCTCAACAACCTGATTCACAAGGCAGTAGGTGGTTTGGAGGTTTGCTTTAGGGACTCTGCCCGGATCCTTGGGCTTGATAGCCTGGCCCACAAGGCAGTGGGGAGCAACTCCAACTCGGAAATGTGATTGCGGAAACAGATTCGGATCTGCTTGACGGCCGTCACATGAAGCCTTTGAGGTA